ATCTATATAACTCTTTTCTGCTATCAAATGACCTTAGACATATGTAATTCATTCAAAATTTTAAGGATTAGACTCGAGATAATTTGATTTGAATTCAATTGCAACTCATTCAAGTCTAATTCATTTGAAGAGAATTCTCAATTGAGCCTAATTCAATTTCTAATTTCAATCCGTTTTAAAACTTTTATTAAGATATGTTTTTATATTGAAGGTCTGAATTATTATCTACTTAACATCTTTTAGGATTTATCTATTCATTTGTTACTTTTTTTAAAAAATATTTATGAGCTGAAATTTAAATTGTGATTATAAAAGTTAAATATTAATATGTTAAATCATTCCGATTAATTGGGTCAAAGCAAACCTGTTTTTAGCATATTTAAACCAAAAATAAACTTAGACGAGTCAAAATCCAACCCAATATTTTTAATTATTACTCAACCCGCTTATTTAACACCTTAGACTTCATAAATGAATAACGGATACCAACCATTCATACAACACAAGGAAAAAAAAAAGTCAACAACACAATTGGAAATAATAATAACTTAGAAGTAAGATTTAATTGAAATTGAATAATACATGTCATGAAGAAACTATATTTACATGACTATATTTAATGTAGCTACCACAAAAAAATTAAATGTAACTCATGGACTTCTCTTGAATATTGATCACATCAATAATAATGTCATCAATATGAGCATATCGACGATAGCTAATTTTTATGATTCGAATACACATCAATTCTAGAGCCTGTGTTACATTTAAAATCATAACTATTTCCAGACTTGTTTTTGCTGTTTTTTTCAGACACAAAATACTCTGTTTTTTTTTTTTGCTGCAAAAACAAAAAAGGAAATAGTAATTTTGTTGAATACAAACAAAACAAGAAGTAAGAACATAGTATTATATAGTAAGTAATAACAAAAAAAAAAAATTAAAATCTGATTACGTAATCGAATCGATTTCTTCCTCCTTCTTCTTCGACGATGATGATGATGATGATTTCTACTTTGAAATTTACGAAAAATAACCAAGAATTGAGCTTTCTTGAGTTGAAAATGGTGATGCTCTGTTTTTTTTTAGTTGTGCAGAGGATTAGGACCAGAAGGGACTAATCTTTTTTCCACACCATATCTTGGATCAATTTCATCCATTGATGAAGATGATGATGACGGAGGCGGTAGAAATGGTGGACAGTGACGGATTCTTTGGAGTTGATAGCAGATTACAGAGGAATGGAGATGATTGTGTTTTTTCGTCGAATTGGGAATTGGGATTTTTTGGGTTTGTGATGAAGCCATTGTAGAGAAGGTAAAAAAGATCAAATAAGCAAGAAAGATACACTTACATGCCATTCTTGAACTTGAAGAAGATGAAAAAAGTGCTGCTTTCATGGTGATTTTTCTGAAATTTTGAGAGTCAAAATTAAGAAACAGAGAGAAGAAGAAGAAACAGAGTATATATAGAGAGGGTGGGGGTGAGAAATAACATATAGCGAAAAGCAAAAATTAAAAGGCTATTTTACACAAATATCTTTTTTTTTTTTTTTAGAATGAATCTAAAAAAATTAGTTAACGTAAATATTTATTTTCAACTCTCAGATTTTATTTTTTTATTTAAAAAGGAAAATTTTCATAAATATTAGAGTGAATGTGTTAGTTAAACGCCCAACTGAATTATCTATAACTGAAAAGAATAGAGTTTTTAGAACTAATAGTCAAAGACAAAATTTAAAAGACAATTGACGTAAATATTCTTTTTTTTTTAATGCCGACATTTAATTTCGTCCCTATTTTATAAGTATCGAAAGTGAATGTACTAGTTAACAACCAACTAAATTATTATATAAATTTAACAGAGAGAGTTTTTTTAAAACTAATACACAACCTAATACACGATTTAAATAACTAATTTACCATATATTTCCTTTTTAGGCTAATATTTACATTTTATCTCAATTTAAATAAGAGAATTTAATAATATTGAGAATGTATGCGCCAACTAATAACTAGCTGAATTTCTTTTTGCCTAAAAAATTCAGTTTCTCCTTTGAAATTCAACACAATACTCTAAGCTACTTCTTAATTTGATTCGATTTTTAATTTGACTCACTTTTAATTAGGTATAATACATAAATATGCTCTTTAACTTGGCTTCGAATCACATTTATGTCCTTCGACTTTCGGTGTGCACAAGTAGACACTTAAACATGTAAAAAGCTAAACAAATAGACACACATGTCATCCTACGTGTCATTTTTTGTCCTACGTGGTGTCCTACGTGTATTTTGCCATGTAGGACTCATGCGTTTATTTATTTAAAAGTTAAATAGTTAAAGTGTCTGTTTGTGCATTATGAAAGTTGGAGGTCAAAGTTAAAATTCGAAGTCAAGTTTAGGGGAGGTTTTAACCAAACTAAACCATTATATAAAGCAATTCATCAAAATAATATGTTTTTCTAAAATTTTACAAAATAGTATAAACGTATTTCACAGTAACGTTTTAAGATATATTTTATTTTTAAAAAGTTGATGGCGTCAGATTGATATACGTTACTCACAGTAACGTTTTACAAGTAAAACGTTGCTTACAATAACGTATATCAACCTAATGCTGTTAGTTTTAAAAAAATAAAATATACCCTAAAACGTTACCGTGAAATACGTTTATACTAGTTTTGTAAAATTTTAGAAAAATGTATTACTTTGGTAAACTATTTTATATAATGACTTAGTTTGGTTAAAAATTCAGTTTAGGGTCCAATATATGTATTATGCCCTTTTAATTATACCACAAACACTCCTGATACAATTTGATCGGTCCTTACATATTATTTCATAATATATTATATCGTATTGTATTGCTATAACGTTTAAATATACTATATCATTTACTATCATTATATAATATCACTTATCAATAATTTTATAGATAATTCCATCAAAAAGTACTATACGAGATAGAGCTACAACCCGATCCTCAACTACCCTCATTCGAGTTATGCATATCAAACATTTATTCATTTTTCTCTCAACCTATTCTGAAGCTATTAAAGATTTAAAAAAGACTATTATTATGATTCGAATACACATCAATTCTCGAACTTTGTTATAAAATCGTAACTAAATAATCTCTTAATGCAGACAAAACAAGAACTAAAAACTTAAAACTTAGTACATAATATTGACAAAAAAAAAATAGAACTCTGATTACATAAGCAAATCGATTTCTACTTCTCCTTCTTCTTCGAGTTTTCTTCTGAAATATGAAAAGGGTAACTAAATAATCGAAGAAATGAACTTTCTTTCCATGAAAATGGTGGTGCTCTGTTTTTTTTTTTTTCAGTTGTGCAGAGGATTAGGACCAGAAGGGATTGATCTTTTCTCCGCACCAAATCTTGGTTCAATTTCATCCAGTGATGAAGATGATAATGGCGACGAAAGCTGTGGAGGAAATGGTGGACAGTGGCGAATTCTTTGGAATTGATAGCAAATTACAGAAGGTGAATGAAGATGATCTTCTTGATCATATTTTTTCGTCGAATTGGGAATTGAAGCCATTGCAGAGAAGGAAAGGAAGATCAAACAAGCTAGCACTATACATTTACGCGCCATTCTTCAACTCGAAGAAGATGGAAAAAAGAGGTGTTTTAATGGCGATTTCTGAATTCTTACAGGCAAAACAAAGAAACAGAGTAAAACTGAGATGGTGAACAAGTTTTATATAGTACTACTAGATTTTTGACATATTTTTTTTTTAAAAATAAAAATAAATGAAATAATATTTTATTATATTACCCGTAATTATTATAAGACATTTATTGTTTGAAAAAAATGAATCGAACGTAACTAAAGAAAGTAAAATAGTTATAAAATGGTAAATCCTCATTTTTTTTAAATATTTCTAATATGAATAAGTAAAGGTCAATATAGAGAGTATATCATTTCTATCGAGTTTCAATATACGTGGATGTATTACTATTAGGGGTCGAATAATATTTTCTTTGATTATGATTTTCTAAAACTTCATTAAATTATTTAGAATTAGTATCTATATTGACGTGTAGTAATTTTAAATATATAATTTTATTCTAAAATATTTAAAGAGTCAATTTGAAAATTTTATAGTCATAATTAAGAGTTTTGGACCATATTTTTACATAAGTTAAGATCAAAGAGATATTTAATTTTTTAAATAAAAATATTAGACTATAGTATGCTTTTATGATAACTTACAAAATTATATATTCAAAAAATACTAAAGGGATAAGTTACAATAAAATAAAATATTAACTAGTTATTAAAGAAAAAGACATTCAACAAAAAGATTCATTAACAATAAAAATGAGTGACACAATTTTCGAGTTGAGCTTAATTTTTTGGTACACTATGTATTTTGAGATGTAAACTCATTTAATAACTTTTATTACAAGATGATGAAAAATACCTCTTATTTATAGTGACTTAAACTTAAAAATGACATGTATTTAAAGATGTGGGGTTAATATAAAAGTTGTCAAAGCCTAATGATAGAAAATAAAGATTATTTATAATCTTTTGTAATAAAGTCTGATTTATAATATTCAATTTTCTTTCTCTTAAAATGATAAATATGTGGTGAGCATTTACATTAGTGATTTTCAAATTTCGAAATGCTATTTATTATGATAGCTGTTGTTGTCAAAGTCTTTAAGAAAACCTATATTCAAAATTGGACTACAATTAAATTTATAGAATAAAATATATCGATGATTGATCAATATAGAATATTTTACTGATTTGATTTACTTTAGCATGTTTATATAACGATAGTAATAAACTAAAAATAAACAGAATCAAACCGATCAAATCATCGAAAAACTAATTATAAAAAGGCTTTTTTATTTTTTTATTTTATAATTACAAATGAACAATAAACAATGAAATAATCCAGTAAAACTTAAAAATTAGAAAAGGTAATCTTAATAACAAAAAAATGAAATTAAAAGAAAAAAAGTTAAAAAGAAGCAACCAAAACTTCCAATAGACCTTAAAGCCAAAATGCCAAAAAACTCAGTAAATCTGATGTTGAAGCAAGTTATGATGCTCAGACTCTTCAAAAATGTCGCGAATCAAAAGTAGTGTATTTCGAAGGATCTGACACGAGTACATCAACAATTTTGGAAAAGTCAGAGCAACATAGGAAAAAACAAGTGTCCTCTTCTTTCACTTCCCTACTATTTGACGTGCACGTCGATTTGCACCTTTAACTCTAGAGTTTAATTCATCAACATCTTTGTCAAGATCATCTATAGCTTTGTTTTGCCTGCATTTATCACATTTCAACAACATGTGTTATCGATAATAAATGAAAAACAGACGTACTATAACATGTTAAATTACACTAACAACATAAAACTTCTTTATACATTGTCAATGTATAAACATTTACATGTATGATCATTGATCACTGCGGTTTTGAGCTACATGTTCATTATCAACAAGTCAACAACAAAACCAGTGTAATCCTGAAGGTGGAGCCGTGGAGTCTAAGGAGTGTTGAGTGCACGTGACCTTACCCCTACGTTGAGAAAGTAGAGAGGTTGTTTCTGATAGACCCCCGACTTAGCTAATGATGAAAAAGAGGTAGCGGGGAAGTAGAAACAACAACAAGAAAATAAGATATCAAGGCTAAAGATGTTCATCACAGATGAAAGTTAACAATCACTTTCATGACTTCCCATTTGAAAAAAACACATTTTAACTTCAGAAAACTAAGTTACATATTGTCGAAAGTGTTCAAAATGAAACGTAACAACATAGTAACAAAGAAGAAGAACATTATGTTTGATGAAACTTACTTGTCAAGTTCAGATCCCATGTCAACAGCCATGCCTTTTAGATCACCCAATATGTTGCTCAAATCCGAAAGTGCATCATCTTGCTTCGCCTTCTCAGACTATTTAAACATAAACATAGTTTTTTTTTTTACTCCAAGTTACAAGGCCACGAATAGATAGCTAGATTGAATGTTGTGTATACGAAATGTACCTCAATTTGCTGCATAGCATTCATCGATTCAGGAGGAGGTGTACTCGAGGCTGATTTCCCCTTTTTACCATTCGACAAACCTAATTTTTCCCTTTCACTTGCACTACCTTTCCCTTTATGATTATCATCTACGAAAACCAGAGAAGATGAAAGTCAGTAAAATCGATTACATAGTCACAATCGATAATGCAGATACTAATAACATGAAACCTTTTGAAGTTCGAGGCCCTTTAATATCGTGAGTTTTCTTTGGCTTCCAAGGCATCGCGAACATGCCACCAAGATTGTTCAATAACTTTTCACCCTAAAGTGCAGAAAACATGATCATTATTGTCAACTTTTGTACCATTTTTTTTTGGGATTGTACATTGAATGAGCAAAGCAAATTAAGCTACTTTCCAAATGTTATACTTGTAAAAGTTGCAGTGTTCAACTGACACAATAGAGACGAGTTGAGGTGTCTAGATATGCATAATAAAAAGTTACATTGGAGTGTTTGTTTATGCATTACGTCTATAAAATAAAGAGTATACACTATCCGTGCTATTAATAGTAATTGAAAATGATCAATACCTTGCTCAAATCGCGATCCATTTCAACAGCCATCATATGAGTACGATTAATTTGCTCGCCTTGCTTATGCAAGGTATCGAGTGTCTGAGCACCTTCTTGTCTAATATCCTCAGCTATCTTCAAACAGTTATTGACCGAGCTCGTTGTCTCCTTAGCTTGGTCTACAGCATACCCTTCCAATTCTTGCACAGACATGTTATCAAAATCCTCTGTCTTACTTTTATGTTTGTTCCTTGTCCCACCTGATGACGACGATGATGTTCCAAAATCATCGTCATCAGGTGTGACAAGAACTGGCTCGGAGGATGTCCTCCGACCAGCTTTCATTACATTTTTTTCATCAGGAGTAGCAGAGTCTGCTTTTTTCCTGAATCCAAACATTTTTCACTTCACCTGATATGCAAACAATTTCAAGATTATAAACCAAAACACTCAAATTTGCTTGCAAATTTACTATATTTCAAACTATACATACAACAATAACAACATGGTTAGTCGACTAATAGTTATTATCTCATAACATCATTTTCTTTGCTGAAATAAAAAAGAACTTTCCTTTTTAGTCTGTTAAAAAAGAATAACTTCTTTTCCTTTTTGACAACATTTTAATTTCACCTTTCCACGTGACATGTTTAAGAGCACAAGATCAAAGAGCAGTTTTGTACATTTGACCCAACTTTAATTTAGGACCACAAGATTCAGAAGTCTTCTTTATATTCTAAAACTCAGTATCAAGTCAAATCAGATCATTCTTTATGAAACGGAGGGAGTATTAGTTAGCTGACATCAACCCCTTTTAGGCTAATCGAATAACTGAAAAAACTGAATGAATTTTATTAGAAGGTGAACCACTATAACTTTTCATTTACAAAATTCATTTTTAAAAATGATCAAGATCAACAGAAAAATATTTGAAGACTGAAAGTTTAAAATCTAATCAAATTTCATGGCCAAACAAATATTTAAATATAATTTTTTAAAATTTATGGTTAAACGCTAACTTAACATTTCACCAGTTATATTTCAATATTATGACTACAAATTTGTGTTTCACGTCAAAAGTATTCTAACAAGAAACCAACCTCAAGCAAAAAAAATAAAAAATAGAAACCTGACTTTCTGAGATAATATCTATTAGTTGACTGACATCAAACTTTATAGGCTAATGATAACTGAAAAAGCTAAATGAATTTTAGAAGGTGAACCACTACAACTTTTCATTCTTGGAGATTCATTTACAAAATTCTTTTTTCTAAAAATGACCAAGATCAAGAGAAAAATATTTGAAGATTGAAATTTTAAAATCTCATCAAATTTCATGGTCAAACAAATATTAAATATAATTTTTCAAAATCTAATCTAAAATCTATGGTTAAACGCTAGTTTAACATTTCACCCGTTATATTATCAAAGTTATGACTTGTTGCAATTTTTGTCAACTTTTACATATACAAATTTATGTTCCACGTCAAAAGTACTCTGACAAGAAGCCAACCTCAACAAAACAAAAACAAAATGACAAAGGAGAAAAAGGTATGTACCCAAGATTAAAGAAAACAATTTTTAAAAGTTGGAATGAAATAATTAATTACCTTTGAATGATTGAAGATGTGATCTATTTATGAAGAGGGAATTAATTAATTAAGGGGAGAGGAAGAAATACTGAATTTTACAGAAAATTTCTTCCTCTCAGAAGTAGTGAATTATAATGAAAGAAACAATGGACACAAAGAATTTATTTTATCAATGGATCAAATATATCAAGGAGAAAAAAAAATGGAAGGTTCCCCTTAAAACCAGCTATTGGCAATTTTACCTGTTTTCCAAACATTTAGCGCTCGTTTGATATGTGAGATAATGATAATAAGTTGAGGCTTAATTTTATTTCATGTCTGAATTGAGGTATTAGTTAATTTCGGAATTACTTTATCCCATGGTTTGCATTTAAATTGGTGTTACTATCATATATTGAAGGTTTAGAAAAAATAACCTCATGTTACTATCGTTATCCTCAATCCCTAATTTATATTAGCTTCTTACCTCATCTTTTCACCTACTTCTTTTTATTATTATTTCCATTCGTTGTTTGGTATCTATTTCAGGGTCCGACTAATGTGAAAAATCTCAAATTGGATAAATTAGTATTCTCTACAAAAAAATGACTATATTTTCTTGAGCTCGAACTCTTGAGAAAGGAAGAGGTGCAAAGGGGAGCCAGGATTTAAAGTTAATGAATTTGAAATTCTAGTTTTACTATTACATATTTGATGAAAAATTTAAAAATAAATATAAATTTGATCGAAAGTTACTGAGTTCAATCGATCCAATACAACCGTAGAACTCAAATAATCATGCAACTAAACTACTAAAATTTCCAAAATTAAAAAAAAAAATTCTAACTCCCAAAAAGTGGAAGAAGAAAATATCTACATGTCCAACTAACCTGAATTTTACTAGCCACACAATCCCAAAAATATCAAAATCAACAGGTTTTTTGTACAATAGTACATGTTTTGTTTAAAAAGAAAACAACAAATCACATGTTGCTCCGGTCATTTTTCAACAATTATTTTGCTTAAATTTTGTATCTAAAAATTTTAGCATTTTGAAAAATTTCAGTTCAGAGACATCATGGCAACTTTTGCTGTCTCTGGATTGAACTCAATTTCAAGTTTTAATAACAATTTCAGAAGCAAAAACTCAAATATTTTTTTGAGTAGAAAGAGGAGTTTATTGTTCAATTTAAGAAGAAGAAGAAGAAGTTTCTATGTTAGCAATGTTGCTAGTGATCAAAAGCAGAAGACAAAAGATTCTTCCTCTGATGAAGGTATTGAAATAATTGTCCGTTTAATTTCTTTGTCTGATTTTAACTTGACACTAAGTTTAACAAAATACAGACTTGTTATGATATGAAATTGATATGTTGAATGTACTTTAGTGTTATTTAATCTTGTGGTGTTAAACGTCTCGCGTGGAAAGTAAAAAAATTAAAGAGTTGTTGAAAAAGGGGCGCGACATTATTTTTGAAAAAGACTAGAAATGGAAGTAAGATAAACAAATTGAATGTGTTCGCGTGTGTTAGAATCTCACATTGGTTAAGGAAACGAGTTGTTTCCTATAAGGTATTAGCAATGCTCACCTCGTTAATTAGCTTTTGAGATTGACTTAGGTCCTAGGTCTATTGATTTATTTAACATGGTGTCAGAAAGACAACGATAACATACCCAGTGCAATCCCACTAGCGGGGTCTGAGGAGGGATGTTGTGTACTTAGACCTAACTTCTATCTTGTGAATGTAGATAGATCGTTTTTGGTGAATCCTCGGCTCAAGACACATTTCTATTTGTAGTTTAACTAGTATTGATACCTTATGTTATAATGTCTACGCTCAAGATCTTCAGCCTGGACATGCCAGGGTGTAAGAGTCGCGCATTGGTAGAGAGAGTAGGTTGTGTTTGTTTAGAGAAGTAGAATTTGAAAATTTCGTATATAGTAGAGTTATCACTCCATTACGACTATTATTTGGACCCTTTGTTAATTGGAGATCAGCAAGTCCAATTGGACTTATTAATGTTTGTTTTTGATATTTTCAGGATTTACATTAGATGTTTATCAGCCGGACTCAACGTCTGTTTTATCAAGTATAAAGTATCACGCAGAGTTCACGCCATCATTTTCTCCTGAGAAGTTTGAACTTCCCAAGGCGTACTATGCAACTGCAGAGAGTGTTCGAGATATGCTCATTTTAAGTTGGAATGCCACATATGAATACTACGAAAAGATGAATGTAAAGCAGGCATATTACTTGTCTATGGAGTTTCTTCAGGTTAGATTAGCTAGGCTTCCCTTTTTATTTCGAGTATAACTACAGAGGTCGTCGTTGAAGTGAGTTGCTTTAATATGCTTTTGGTGCTTGCAGGGAAGAGCTTTACTCAATGCTATTGGTAACTTGGGGCTAAACGGACCTTATGCAGATGCTTTAACTAAGCTCGGATACAGTTTAGAGGATGTAGCCAGGCAGGTCGGATTTCTGTAAGAACTTACTTATTTCTGTTGACGGTTAGCCACTCAAAGTAGTTTTTTGTTTGATTGAGTCTGTCTTGTTTCAGTACAGCCCTATTTGACTATTACTAACACTTTGAAGGCGACTAGCTCCTGTTTCTATATTGCACAAGTTCTTGATTGATATGCTTTTCCAAAATGATTTAATAACATGTCAACGTAGTCAAACTATCCCGTTCTCATCATCACTGTTCTAACATTGTGATATATATCAATTGATTTCACGCGGGATAGTCGTCTACTGTAATTAGCTTAAGCTGTTTACTGTAATGACTGACAGGAACCAGATGCAGCTTTAGGGAATGGAGGCTTAGGAAGACTTGCTTCTTGCTTTCTTGACTCAATGGCGACGCTAAACTACCCTGCATGGGGTTATGGACTTAGATACCAATATGGCCTTTTCAAACAGCTTATTACAAAAGATGGCCAGGAGGAAGTTGCTGAAAACTGGCTCGAGGTACGATATGTTGGAGGACCTTGATACTACTGACTGCACGTTTTTTCGTATTTTTCAATAGCTTTTATATGTTCTTTGCTATGCTCCAAAGTAATAGGACTATCATTTTCTCAGATGGGAAATCCATGGGAAATTGTCAGGAATGATATTTCGTATCCCGTAAAATTCTATGGGAAGGTCATTGAAGGAGCTGATGGGTCAAAGGAATGGGTTGGCGGAGAAGATATAACTGCTGTTGCCTATGATGTCCCAATACCAGGATATAAAACAAAAACAACTATCAACCTTCGACTGTGGTCAACAAAGCTAGCTGCAGAAGCTTTTGATCTACATGCTTTTAACAACGGAGACCATGCCAAAGCATATGAGGCACAGAAAAAGGCTGAGAAGGTGTACCTTTTTCTTTAGCTTACTTGAGAAACTATAAAATACTCTCTCCGTTTCAATTTGTTTGTCGTACTTCCCTTTTTAGTTTGTTTAAAAGGAAAGTCTCTTTTCTTTTTTTGGAAACTCGTTAATTCTAACCTTCCACATGACATGTTTTAAACCACAAGATTCAAAAGTTTTCTTTACTTTTCTTAAACTCCGTGCCAAGTCAAAACCAGACAAACAAAGTGAAACGGAGCAAGTACAATTCAAAAGCATGAATGCTGCGGAAATACTGCGAGATTCTGGTTATTAACCACAAGAAGAGCATTCCCTAATATTGTGTCTTGTATTTTGGATCAGATTTGCTATGTCTTATATCCAGGTGACGAGTCACTTGAGGGAAAGACACTTCGGTTAAAGCAACAATACACCCTATGTTCTGCTTCTCTTCAGGACATTATTGCACGGTTCGAGAAGAGATCAGGGAATGCAGTGAACTGGGATCAGTTCCCGGAAAAGGTTGCAGTACAGATGAATGACACTCATCCAACACTTTGCATACCAGAACTTTTAAGGATATTGATAGATGTTAAAGGTTTGAGCTGGAAGCAGGCATGGGGAATTACTCAAAGGTTCTTTCTTCCGTTATTGCATCCGATAAATGTCTAATTTTTCTAGCAATTAGCTTTAAGATACAAGCGTAGATGATTCTTCCCTTTGTTTATTCATGTAAATACAGTAGCTCTACTCCTGTGACATTGTTATATCTTGGCAGAACGGTCGCATACACTAACCACACTGTTTTACCCGAGGCTCTAGAGAAATGGAGCTTCACACTTCTTGGTGAACTGCTTCCTCGGCACGTGGAGATCATAGCAATGATAGATGAGGAGGTGAAAATTTTAAACTCCATTTTCATTTCTAGGATTAAGTTGATATTTTACATTTTGAACTTCTTGATCGAATTCGTTGCAGCTCAACATATTACTTTTGCTTCATTCTTTCTGAGAACTACTAAATGTGTATGCTTTTGCAGCTTTTGCTAACTATACTTACTGAATATGGTACTGAAGATCTTGACTTGTTGCAAGAAAAGCTAAACCAAATGAGGATTCTGGATAATGTTGAAATACCTACTTCTGTTTTGGAGTTACTTATCAAAGCCGAAGAAAATGCTGCTGATGTCGAAAAAGCAGCAGAAGAAGAACAACTAGAAGAAGGTAAAGATGAGGAAACTGAGGCTGTAAAAGCAGAAACTACGAACGTAGAGGAGGAAACTGAGGTTGAGAAGGTTGAGGTCAAGGATAGTCAAGCAAAAATAAAACGGATATTCGGGCCACATGCAAATAGACCACAGGTGGTTCACATGGCAAATCTATGTGTAGTTAGTGGTCATGCAGTTAACGGTGTTGCTGAGATTCATAGTGAAATAGTTAAAGATGAAGTTTTCAATGAATTTTACAAGGTATGAACATTATCACACGGCTAGAAGTGATAGATATCATTTTCACTTCTCCTCTTCAATGTTATTTCGATTGATCAAAACTATTTGTTCATCGACAGTTATGGCCAGAGAAATTCCAAAACAAGACAAATGGTGTGACACCAAGAAGATGGTTAAGTTTCTGTAACCCAGAGTTGAGTGAAATTATAACCAAATGGACAGGATCTGATGATTGGTTGGTAAACACTGAAAAATTGGCAGAGCTTCGAAAGGTAAACGAGTTGTTTCTGACTTGTGATCTTATTGATTCCTAAACCGTCGTCAACAGCTTTCTTGAATGGATTATTTACTTTAGTCCTTCTATGTGGAAAGAGATCTTTATAAATATCATAAGAACATGTGAAATGTATGA